AACCGTAGAATATAACGAATGGGAGGCTATTTGGTGGCGCATCCTCGGGAGCATGTACGGATAAATCATTCGCGATACGGGAGGCGAAATTGGGATTCTGGTTGCAGAAGGCCAGATACGCAGATGAAAGAAAACGAAACATCGAGGAGCTAGTCTCACTAGTTACCCAGGGAGATTTTTTGGTGATGTGACGCTGATAAACCGCATCTATGGAATGTATGATGTTGTATAACATGTCCATAGTTGACTGGGTTTCAAGAGGCTCCAAAGAAGGGTCATCTGCGCTGTATCCGTTGTGATTACTGCTGTATTCCGCTAGGAATTGCGTCACCTTCAAAGGAGGCACGAGAGCCGATGAAATTTGGGGCCAGTGGGGTATAACCTCAATGATGCAGGATACGTATCGCGCCAGAGTTTCAACTCCATTTAAGGGAACAGATATAACTCGATCGTTCAGACGCGCTACCATGTTCAAGCCCTCATGTCCGTATCGCCTCTGCATAGAGGTGTAGAATGGAATCTTATCAAGGGTCAATATCCATCCCAAAGCAGAAATGTAAGGCCTGGATATGATATCAAGGTCTTGCAACTCGGTTTCCTTAACCAGCTGATTCAGTAGCACAGTATCCAAACGAACTAGGTGGAGAGTCAGTCGAGCATAATTGGCGAAAAGCTCTTCAACGCATTTCCATAACATCACGTTGTCATCTGACTGAAATACGTCACTGCATAAACGTTAGATGTGAGGACAAGCAATTCCCAAGAAATGGTCTCCGCTTGGATTTGGTGACGATAGACTTACGGTCTGCGAAGCACACTCTCTATTAGGTTTGGAATCTCGTCCCAGAAATACCGTGCGTCCATCAGGGTTTCATGTGTCATCTGCTCTAGAGAGTTGGCAACTTCCTCAAACCATTGCTTCACCGCAATCAAGTATAAGCTGTCGTGTTCGTGGCCTGGATGATAGTCTTAGTTCATGGCCACAATATTGCTGGTAGTCAAAGATAGCGGGGTCCATACCTTTTTCGAAGACCGCACACATATCATCTAGATTCTCATGCGGCTCATGATCATGTTCCACCACCGGGAAAGTATCCGGTAAGTAGACCTGTTCACGAAGCTGGACTACGTCTGGTACCAACGGGTCGCGCAGTGCCTCCCCCAAAGATCTCCAGCTGGTAGTATTGGGATCCTGGTCCATATCTTCCAGCTCCGCCACCTCAATCTCGGGGCTTTGAGTGGGAGTAGACGATAGCGATACGACATTCGTGGGTTCGTCGCCGCCGGGCTTCGTGGAGGTGTCAGTGGCGGGCTCCTCGCCAGGATTGTCTTCTGGGGTGGTGGGCCGATTATCTGTTATCGTGGGAGATTTCATATTGATGGTCATCCTACTAGCTGGGCGGTTCAGGGTGGGAGCTCCCTGGTCTGCTATGGCAGGAACATCCGGGGCGCCTTCGGGATGCGGGGTTGGCGTCTCGCCGGGAGCAGGCAAATTATCGCAGACACCACTTCCACTATCGAGACGAGGGCGTTTCCGAGTGGATTGGGGGTCGATTTCTTCCATGGAATCGCCGGAGGAACGCGCCGTGTCGGTCGAAGTAGTGTCAGGCGGGGTGCTAGAGCTCTCTAGCGGGGCAGCTGCCATGACATTTTCCCAGTTCGACCTTCTGGGACGGCGAAGTTTATTCCGGCCAAGTTTGATTGTTTATCGGAGTCTATTGAGCAGAGGAGGACGGAAGCGGGGCGAGAAAAGAGGTGGAAATGAGCAACAGCTGAGGTCGGTGGAAGGTAGCGGAGTGAAGAGTGGAGTGAAAAAAAGAGAAACTAAACACAGGAAGTAAGATAAGGATAAAGCAAAAACAAGGCTGGAAATCTCAACTGAGAAAAGGTTCCGTCTGACGAGACGAGGGTTCTTTGAGCAGGGAACGCCGATGGCCTTGTTCGTTGCCTCTCTGATTGTTTGGACTTCGGAGCCCAGAGAGCAGTGAAGGAACCGGCGACGCAACAACTCTGACGTTGGCGGTGGACCAGCGGGCGCAAGGCTCACACCACTCACTATCTAGGAACTCTCCTTTCAACACCTGGATGGGAACCCAATAAAATCGAGAGTACAAGACGAAATGACCGGATTAATTGCGGATTTTGCATTTAATAAGATTGATTGTATGGATTCATAAAAAGGTCTATTCACAGGCCAGCTTTACAACAACACAAGGCACACCAGAGTAGGTTTAGGCTATCCTAGGCAGCTGTTTGCCTAGAAGCACGAGATAGCTCGTGCAGAGAGCGGTCATGGAAACAAGAAGGAATGTCGAATTGACCTTGTCACTTCACTCTCAGTCTCGTGTCTAGCGTCTCCGGATGAAATTTCCTTTTATCCCTTGCAGGAGGTAAGGAATTCGAGCGGAGCTGGATGGGGTCTCTGATAAGAGCGACAAAAGTACAGTTTTTGCGCTGAACGTGCCTCCGGCTTGAACGATGATTATGTCTGGATACGTGGTCAATAGCTTTCACCGAGAACATGAAAGCTTGGTGAGGGCCGGGCTCTTGTTATAAATTCGTCTATCTATTTCCCCCCAGAGCGCTCAATCTCCCGTATGACTTTAGCGGGGTTTCCGACAGCAAGGTGATATGCAGGAACATCCTTCGACCGTTAATAAAAACAGCTCTTGAATTTGACAGGTGAACTATCATACCTTGGTTACCACACTGCTCGCTCCAATTACCGCACCATTTCCTATCGTCACGCCGGGCAGAACGGTAACATTCCCAGCTAACCAGCAGTCTTCGCCAATATGGATTTCCTTTCCGGTCTCAGGACCTGAAGTTCCATTGCGTAGATCTGGGTCAAGAGGGTGTGTGCCACTGTATAGATTGACTTTTGGTCCAAATAGAGTTCGTGCGCCAATGGTGACCTGACAGGTGTCGATAATCACGCAGTCAAAGTTGATAAAGACCCCCTGGCCGAGCTTCACATTATAGCCATAGTCAACTCTGATGGGTTGTTCGATCCAAGGCTCGTTCTCTAGGACAGCGTCGTCCTCGGCGGGGTCCTCTTTGGCTGGTGGAAGAGGGGTTGTGTCCTGAGCTATACTATTTATCACGCCGATGTCAGCAAAGACTGCCTGCCGCGGCAGAAATCAGAAATCGGAGATGTGCAACGACTCATCATCCGATGGCCATTGGCGTGAGCATATTTAACACTCACTCTTTCCAGAGCTCGAGCAAGCGTCGTCGCGAGACCTCGCCAGCGTTATTGAACCGAGTGCAGGCGGCGCGGCAACGAGCCCGGTCGGCAGTCAGTTCCGGGGTGAAGGCGCGATAAAGCTCGCCGCGCAGCATCTTATCCTTTTCTGTGTCGGGCATCCTGGCTCTCCTCTAATAAAGGGCCCGATCTTTGAATGCGGGGGATATGCAGGAGCCGGAGATAAGCTGCCTGGCCCGCCGATTGTAGATGGACGACGACTAGGCCAATTCCAGCGTAGTCGGTTCGGGGCCAGACACGAACATCGCTCTGACTCGCGTGTTTTTGCTTATTTCTTTTCAGCAAGTAAGATGCTTCTCCCAGACAAAGAAACACCCCGGAACTGGAAGCGTCAATTGATCTGGATCTGGAAAAAGGCCCATGTGGCTGTCAATACGCTGGAAGAAAGAAAGCCGGAGATAACGTGGCGCACCTTCGTTCCTGAGGCTCGAATGGGGTTACCCACTTGGCTGCTGATATTGTTGTCCTCCACACCAGCTCGAATCCGATTGTTCTGCCTTTTTCTACCCGCATGCCGCGAATTATAAGATTTACGTCTCCCAGTTGCCCTCCGCATTTCGATCGATATATCTTGCCATGCTCCTGCTCTAGACTTCACTTTTAAACCTACAACAATCCAACCCCATCCACACCATGGCCAACGACGCCTCCCACGACCCCCCAGCAAGCTACACTACCTGGCGTCCACCTTCTGAATCACCAACTCCCGCCACGGCGACCACAAGAAGCGATGCCTTACTGCGCCCCTCTGGCTCGAAATCGCTCTCCGGCATATCCCTGCGCGCGTTCCTTCTCGGCGCAAACCTCGGCCTCTGCCTTTCCATCACCGTCGCCCTCCTCCTCATTCCACCAAACCCCCACTACCTCTGGCGGCTCCCCTTCTTCGTCTCCTCGCTCAGTCTCTTCCATTTCCTTGAATTTTACATCACCGCCGCCTACAACACCCGCTACGCCGATGTCTCCGCTTTCCTCCTCTCCTCCAACGGCTGGGCCTACAACTTCGCGCATTCCTCTGCCTCCGTCGAGTGTCTCCTCGCCTACCTTTTCTACCCCCATGAATCATACTTCAGCTTCACGGCCCCTGTGTATGGGGTGAAGATCCAGGTTGTCGTCGGGATATTCCTTATGGCGCTCGGCCAGGTGGTGCGGTCTCTAGCCATGGCGCAGGCGGGGAGCAATTTCAACCATACGGTGCAGGTGGAAAGGAGGGAAGGGCATATGCTTGTGACGCATGGGGTTTATGCAGTCCTACGGCACCCGAGTTACTTTGGATTCTTTTGGTGGGGGATTGGAACGCAACTGATGTTGGGGAATGTGGCTAGTTTACTGGGGTATGCGGTGGTGTTGTGGAAGTTTTTCAGTCATCGGATTGATCGTGAGTGCTCCCTTGATTTATTTATTTATTTATTTTTTATCACTTTTCTATCTTTGGAGCTGGGAATATAGCTAACATGGCTCTTTAGGGGAGGAACGCTTCCTGATTGCTTTCTTTGGGGATGAGTATGTGGAATATAAGAACAAGACTACGGTTGGAATTCCGGGGATCCCATGATAGAAGCATATTCGTTAGATCATGCTTTACGAGATATGTACAAAGGAGATGGTATGTGCATTGACCCGGTGTCAATAGAAAACACATTATATCAATGTGACAGGTACCAGCACAGCTCAGTGGTATCAAACGCCCCAAACGCCTTCGTAAACAACCACGCGTCCAACCGTATATATACTATATCTAGAGTTTACTCTCAGGAGCGACTCCTCCAACTGCCCCACTCATATAAGCTCCCTGACCCCCGGCCTGTTCATCGGCCTGCGCAACTGCATTATTCTCAAGCCCCAACAAAATCATCTCCCTTCCACCCTTTGTACTCCACCATGTAACACAGTAATGCGCCCTGTCGACATCCATTTCCCCGTTACTCAAGGTATCCCAGAATCGCTCCACACAGGTCATCCGCATCCCTGGCGCAGAGATAGCATTTATTAAATTTGCGGTTAGCGGTAGCCACTCTTCTAGGTCTTCGACGCGGAGGAAGCATAGACTGTCGATGAGCGCCAGAGTTAGGGTTGCTTGTTCGGAGAGTAGGACTGGGACTTCCTTGGCCATGTCGGGGTCGGGCGAGTTCGATGGCTGAGAGGAAGGTGGGAGTGCGTCAGTGGAGGCGTTGTTAAGTGCTCTGTCGTAGAGGACTTCGAGGAGGATTGAGGGAAGGAGAGGTTGGCGGTTTGCGATGGGAGATGGAGGTGCAGTGACTTGGAGGACGGTCTTGAAGGCGAGGCGGAATTGGCGGCCGGAAAGGTTGTTAGGGAAAACCTGTGAAGAGTTTCGATAAGCGTCAACCTCTTAGAAGACGTGGGATGACGATAAATGACTTACAGAGAAGAGGTTATCTATGTAAAACGGAAGATGTTTGGCGGCCACGGCCGCGTTATTGGGGATCGCGAATACAGCAAGGGCTAAACTGTGTGCAGCCTCGAATATTTCGAGAAGGTGGTTATTCCCGCCTGCTGCGAGGTAGGGCATCGCCGCTTGTATAAGTAAGTCTTCACTGAAAGTGGGCGACACGACTGTTGTGAAAAGCTCCGAGGTATTCAGGAAGAATAAATCAAGGCATCGATCAAGGGGATGAGCGGGAATGTGGCCAATCCCGGTTGGTTTGATGCTCTTGAGGAAATTCTCGGTCAAGGCAGGATAATGGGCCAGAATGTCCACGGCTGCCAATGTCACGAATGTATGTTGGGATGAGGAGTTCGGGCCAACTCGAGAGGAGATGAAATATAGATTGCGGAGAATGTGGAGAGCCTGCATTGAGATAAAAGGTGCAACTAGAACGGGATCAGCCAAAAGAAGTAGTTTTGAGGCTCATGGGGTTCTCACTCTTGTCCGATGCTAGTCCTCGGTCGTTAATTACCCGCCCAAAGACAGCACGAAGAATAATGACCGCGGAATACAGACAGTTGCGGAGCAGCTTCCACAAGCTCGGTATTGTTTCCCTGAGGGAATCTGGTTCGAGGAATTCAACCTCTTCGGCCTTATCAACCTCTGATAGCTTGTTCTGCCGCCACTGCACGGCCAAAGTCCGAACAAAGTCCTCAAGCTGGTCGACAGATCGCGCCACTAACCTAGGATCCCGGACATTTTCCACCGCATGGGCAATGAGCCTGGAAAGCGGGCCCAACGCCGAAATAAGAGGGCTTGAAGAGATAGCCATTACTCGCTGGACTGTAGTAGACTGCGGTGGCCATGCAAATCGCTTCGAGGGCATTTGGACGATATCTTGGTCGACACTGCCGAGAAAATATGCTCCTTCAAATCCTTCCGGCGAGAAATATACCGTCTGGACCATGACTGGCAGCAGTCGATCATAGTCGAGTCTGCTCCTCTCGAGGTCCGATAGGAGTTCAAACGAATAATTCAGAACCATGGTGACGCAACGACCATCTACGCCGTCATGGGGGTCCAGCTCCTCCAAAGCGAGCTGCGCTGCCGTAACAAGAGCAGCCTCTAGCTTCTTCCGAACGTTCCATGGTAGGCCCTGTCTATCCTGGCCTTCAAACCCCAGGAGAACGCCGCCAATTAGAAGCAGATGCCTCCATCTCGGCGACTTCTCATCAGCACCACTGACAACCGCCTTGACCCATTCCTCACGATCCAGCTTTCTAGGTCCCGGTCCGCCCCAGGGTATTCGCGGGTCTTCCGATTCCTCGCTCTGGAGAATTGCCATGGCAGCCGTGTTGAAGACGCTGATAATCCGCCGGCAGGTGTGGAGATCGACGGCTTGGTTCCATATTGCCGGAGAAGTTAGCAGTTGCGAGGCGAGTAGAGTTATATTCAGAGGATTCTTGAGAACTGCAAGGAGGCTTGTTGCGGTCGGGAGCAAGCTGGTAAACAGAAGTCAGTCGTCGCATTCGTGGACCGAGGGTGTGGGTGTATCGGGGATGTTACCTTAGGCCATCGTGAGTGTCGGAGGGAGATTGAAGGGAACGCAGTAAAGCGCCCAGTGAGCGCTCCGTTGCCATGTTATGAAGCACACCCAACGGTGACGAATGTGGATGGCATAAGGGAGAACAGATGAATTGGAGGGAGTTCCTGTTAGCGGACAACTACCGCGGACGCCGATGGATCACCTGCCGAGGTTACTGTCTAGAGGAGCAAACAATGCAAACATGCTCTTCCCCATCATAGCTTCCAGCCTCAGGCACACAGTGACCAAAGCACCAGCTCTGACTCTTCAGGTGTACGATTGATATCATGCTACATCCCTCGGTTCCGCTCCTTCGTCCCCAATGACAGGTGGCGTCAGCTCCGTGCAGAGAAAATGGCAAATAATCGCGTCCCGATTAACTACGTGACACCTGCATTCCCGTCGCTCTACGATCCTTTCCCCGGCCGCAGCAATGTAGCCTACTACCTCTACCATACCGGCGATATCTGGCGATTCACACTATACTGGACCCTGATCTTCTACATATGCTGTTACTTGGCTGTTGCTGCCTGTGCACTTGTCATGCAAGGTCGGGATTGGAAGATTTGTCTAGCAGTGCCTATTGTGTATGCCGTCATCGGGGGGCTTGAAGCGGTTCTTGCAGGGAGTATTGTGGGAGGCGTGTAAGTCTAGCTGTGATTTATTTTTCGCCCTTAACACGAATATGAGTCCCACGTGCTAAGAATTGCAGAATAGGATCCGTGTACGAAGCGGGGAATTTTAGAATGTCTACGTGGATTCCGATTATTTGGGGCGGCGTCAATCTTCTGGTTCTCATACTATCCAGTTTCCCGATACCAGGTGGATTATGAATAATCGGTAAGAATTTAAATATTTATGGCATAGACTGGAACTGATTGTGCAAGGTGGATATATCAGAAACAAGACGCCGAAAATGCAACTTCTGCTCCGACTAGGAACAAACAAGACGTGTCGAGATGGTATGATACATTCAAAGATAAGATCATATAACTCGCCATACTATTATCCGAAGAGATTACCCGCCGTTGCGCCACTTCATTCCTCACGCATGGAATATCACAGGTGTTTGAATCACCGGCCATAATTGTTATTATCAGGCGGGAACACCCCCTGTAAACCAGGAAGTCCGCCCCCCATTGGCGCAGATACTGGAGGTAAATGGTGAGGGAAACCTGGCGGGAGTGAGATTCCTTGCGCAGCAAGCTGCTTTTGGAGCTCCCCGAGGTCGACATTGGGCGCATTCATGGGTGGAGTCCCCGATGCGGGAGGAGCCCCAGAGAAGGGAGGCGCAAAGGGAAAAGCGGGGAAGGCAGGGTTTGGAGGGAAAGCATTTGCTGGAGGCTGAGCCATAGAGGCGGCCAATCCAGGTGGAGGAGGAGGTTGAGCGGCGCCTATGCCAGGTAGTAAAGATGAACCCAGCCCATCTGGCTGAGGCGCACTTTGTATGCCGGGAAGACCTGTACCGGCGGACTTCCTTTGATCGACCAAGCTATCTTCTTCATCCTGTAGTTCCTGTTCTTCTTCCTCGCGCATCTGCCGTTTCCCAAAGTTGCGGTTCCATGTCCCCTGGGCTTCAGCAGCCTCCTCCCCAATGTGGAACCTATCTTTCAAGTACGTTATCTCTCCCGGCCGAGCACGAGACCAGAATCGGGTGAAATTGTCTTTCGAACCCGAAGCAAGAATATGACCTAGAGGATGCCAGTCTAGAGTCCAAATAGTCGCAGCGTGAGCATACTGTACCCGGTGAGCTGGGTAGATTACCTGGGCCGGCGTATTTGCTGGATCCGGGCTATCGTAAGGTGCGACTGTAGGCATTTGGCCGGCCGGAAGGTTGGGCTCGTCAAGCAAGTAATGATATAATGACCCATCTTCGCTTCCTGTTGAGATAAGAGAGCAGTGAACCGGATGCCATGTGAGCGTAGATATCGGTTTTTCGTGGCCGCGGAGAATACAAATGTCCCGCATCATACGGAGATCAAAAACTCGTGCGGTCTGGTCGCGCGACGATGTTGCAAGAAGGTTGCTGTTGACCCGCGAGAACCTGGTAGTGGTCACGGTATTTTTATGGCTGTGAAGTGTCGTCAAGCAGCGGGTGGTGCGAGGGTCCCAGAATTTGACTTGATGGTCTTTCGAACCGGAAGCAAGCAGCCCCTTTGTCGGATGCCAGTCGCATGATTTGACATCCCAGTTATGGCCGGTCAGGACGCTATCGCATGTTCTCGTTGTGAAATCGTATATCTTAAGCGTCGTGTCGTCGGAAGCCGAGAGGAACTTCGTATCGCTTGGTGACCAAGCTAGATCTCGTACAGCGTCGTGGTGCGCGTCGTCTATCGTCTCAACGTTGTTGAAATTCGGCCTCCAGTATTTCACATCGCCTTTTTGTCCTCCAGAAATCAACCAGTCGTTACTATGCGACCACGCCAACGATGTAACTCCAGCTTGCAATTGATCGTAGTGTGCCTAGATTCATCAGCCTTGAGTTGCCGCTATCGAGGATACATCGACCTACATCCATGACCGTTTCGAAATTGAATGCCGTGCCGTTCCATAGCATGAACTCTCCAGTATGTCCACCGGTTAACAGGCGCCTCCCCTCTGGGGTCCATCTGACGACCGTGATCGGCTTTTTCGACTTTCCGATGGACTGGTGTAAATGTCGTACAGGGATCGTATCTACCGGCGAGTGCACTCGCGCCATGGGAGGGAGCATCTGCGATAGCAAAAACTATTAGACCTGCAGTCATCCGACGGTGCTTGACATTCACTTACATCCACAATATAACTGGCACTCGGCCTCTCTTTCTCCATCCGATAGCCGCCTCTGTATTTCGGTCGCCGATGGCGCATCCATTGTACCATTGAAGAACCATAATCGGTGACCAGCCCTGCGAGCCGTTAGCTGAAGCTGCGTGCGGGAGAGAGAACGACTTCGACAAACATACTGGGCCGACGAGGTCCCTGGATTCCGCCCTGGCCCCTCCCAAATTGCTGCGCATCATTCCCAGAGTCGTCGTAATAAGCCATCTTGATGAGTTGACCTTAACTAACAGACAAAGCAACAGGCGAATTCTGCGACCATGACAAGGGGGAAGGCGGAGAAAGCCAGCGCGGTGACAACGCTTATTCGACACAGACGAAACTGACGTCGACGGATGCTTGACAGCAATAAAGACGGTAATATCCGACTCTCTTTGCGACGTTGTGGATATATTGGGTAGATTATTCACAGCGTCACAACGGAAGCCGAGACGTGAAACAGCGACGCGGAAGAATGATTATTGGGCCGGGCCAGAGCTGCCGCCGACACTACTTTAGCCCGCGACAGTTCCAAGGTCTCCAACCTCTCAACTCTCAAGGCTCTCGCTGGAGTCCGCATTTCCAAGCTAGCAGCAGCATGCAGGTGGAACAACGGCTCTCCTCCCCTGCCTCTTAGCCCACTGGTAGAGGCCTATGCTCAACCTTCGTGACAATATGAGAAACCTTGATAACCCCGCCGCACTGTCCCGGTCTCCCTGTTCTCATCATCCTCTGTCTCTGCTCTTGCCAACTGCCTACACCCGCGCACTGGCCTGTTTCTTGCCATGAATTGACCGGCCTGTGGCCAGCTGCCGATTGATATTCTTATCTGACGCTCCTGTCGTATCTCCGCATCATTCCACAGGGCTGGGTGCTCAGCGTAGGGATACGTACCTGCGCTTTCGTATTGCCTCGCTGGCAGACAACTGATAATTCTGTCTCGATATATTCGCCATCTTCGCGTTCCACATATATTTTAAACTATACTCTTGTTTAATTCATTTAGAAAGCAGGATGGGCGCTGTCGAAGGCTCTTCGGCCACTAACGGCACTCGCAGCAACAACCATACCAGCTCTTCTAATGGCTCTTCGCCCTCGGAAAACGGTTCAAACCACCGGACCGTAAAGAAGTCTGACACGTATCGGCATGTTGTAGCTATTCATTCGAAAGTCCAGCACTCATGCCTTAGCCGCGACTCGACCCAGGCTACGAGCTTTATCGGCTTTCGGAACCTCATGATTGTTGTATTGGGTAAGATAACTATTTCTCAGTGCGATATTTTCTGCTGATTCACTCTTCTAGTGGCCATGAATCTGCGGCTAGTAATCGAAAACTTCCTCAAGGTGCATCTTCCAATATGACGCAATTGTTGCACCCAGCTAACGTGTTTACAGTACGGTGTTTTGATCTGCATCAAGTGTCACGATTACCGCAAGCAAGACGTCGTGATCGGAGCAATCCTCTTTGCACTGGTTCCTTGCCAGTTGCTATGCTCATACTTCATCGAACTGGCAGCATCCGGACATGCTGTGCGTGTTATTGGTCGAGCAAAAAAGGAAGAAAGTACTGAAATCTTGCGTGAAACTAAGAGAACTTGGCTCTTCATTGCGCTACTACACTCTATTATCAGCTTTTTCGGCCTAGCTGTCACCAGCTATGTTATCTTTTATTACATCAATCATCCTGGCATTGGCACACTCTGTGAAATCCAGGTGATCGTGGTGTCGCTCAAGTCGTACTCCTATGCATTGACGAATCGCGATTTACGCCGCGCCATGCTTGGTTCCCCATCGACAGATTTCGCTATCCCGGAGCTCTATCGCTCATGCCCGTATCCCCGTAACATCACTCTGGGGAACCTCTTCTATTTTCTACTGGCTCCAACGTTGGTTTACCAGCCCGTTTACCCACGGACGCCCCGCATCCGTTGGTCGTTTGTGGGCAAGCGTCTATTCGAGTTCGTCGGTCTGGCAATGGTTATCTGGCTGCTTTCTGCGCAATACGCCGCACCGCTTTTGCGCAATTCGACCGAGAAAATCGCAGTCCTACACGTCGGGTCTATTCTGGAGCGAGGGTTGAAGCTCTCGACAATTTCCCTTGTAATCTGGCTTGCGGGGTTTTATGCCCTCTTCCAGTCTTTGTTGAATGGACTGGCAGAGATCATGCGATTTGGGGATCGGGAGTTCTATACAGACTGGTGGAATAGCCCGAGTTTTGGCGTATATTGGCGATCCTGGAATCGACCTGTTTATACCTTCATGAAACGGCATGTGTATATGCCACTCGTCACACGAGGCTGGAGCCCAACTTTGGCTGGCACCGTGGTCTTCGCAGTCTCCGCCGTGCTGCACGAGATTCTTGTTGGGGTACCCACACACAATCTGATCGGTATGTTTGCGGCTGTAAAACCTCGCGGCTTTTGCTAACGACGAGTAGGAGTTGCATTCCTGGCGATGCTGTTTCAATTACCGTTGATTCTTCTAACCGCCCCGTTCGAGAAGCTCAAGAGCCCTCTTGGCAAGGCAATCGGTAATTCGTTTTTCTGGGTGACTTTTTGCGTCGTTGGACAGCCGTTTGCAGCGCTTTTGTATTTCTTCGCATGGCAGGCGAAATATGGTAGTGTCAGTAGGACACAATCCTTGGAGTTCTTGGAATAGGCAATATACGAGTCGTCATCTAGCGTGTAAAACTTAGGCTAGACATTGATCGAAGAGAATCGAAGTGTTCGTTGAGGACAAGTATGCCTTTTTCTGCGGTGGCCGGACAGAACACTGTCCATTCAAGACACAGATCTTAGTCTTCACTTGACAATCCCTTGATTTTGATTAGCGAGCAATTGGTCATTGGCCCCAAGGGAGTTCGTGAATGGAATTTCGGATGGGATAACATGCGTATGGCCGATCAGCCTAAACCCCGGAACGCGGCTTCGCCCAAGACCCGGAGGGATTGTCTGGTCCGCCTCCCGAGCGAACTTCAACTATATAACCCCCCCACGATCGCAGCTGTCACGCCATAGCTTCAATCCAGTACGAATCTCAAGCTTCTGAATCCCCATTACTTTGATTATTTTCCATCAACTTTCATTCGCCAGCTGTCAACATGGTCGCGATCGACATTCCCGCAAACTACGGGTATGAAGATGCCCCTGTCACACTGCCTCCAGCCATTCACGAAGCAATCGAAGTGACACCATGCTGATCTCACCTTGATCTCTAGATATTCCATCGCCGTTGCTCTCGGCGCTATCCCTGTCCTCGGTTTCCTGCACGGCGTGGTTGTCGGTAGTTTCCGCAAGGCTGCTGGAGTCCCGTATCCTCACACATACGCTACCGTTGAGCAATGCAAATCCAACGTACGTCTGCGCAGCCACCCTTGGATTCTTCCACATAACAAATGCACTAACGTTTCTCGTTTGAATATAGCCCAAGGCCTACAAGTTTAACTGCGCCCAGCGCGCCCACGCCAACTTCCTCGAGAATGCGCCGCAAACCATGCTCTCGATCCTGGTGGCAGGTGTGAAATACCCCGAGTTGGCTGCTGGGCTGGGCGCCGCATGGGCCGTTTTCCGTGTTCTGTTCCTGCACGGGTACGTTTACACAGATAAAGCGCAGGGAGCTGGAAGATACAATGGCGGCTTGTTCTGGTTTATGCAGGCGGGTCTCTGGGGATTGAGCGTTTTCGGCGTTGCGAGGGATTTGATGTAATTATGCGTAGGCATGGTTGGTCTACCCACATAGGAGAGTTGGAAGGAGGATGCGAAATGTGGTGTTTGTATCATAGTCGAACTCTTGGCCTGGGGTGCAGGCGCTGGCTCCTATCTTATCGGGCCGGAGCAAAAGTTCCACCGCGGCTGGTGGGGTGACTTTTTTCTGTATCTACATCCATCCCACTTCGACTTCAGAATACCTCAATAATTCCATTGATTTAAAAGACTTGCGCAAACTCGCCCACCATGTCGTCCAAATCCCATATTTCCTATGCAACCCGCGCAATCAACCATCCCAACCCCCTCACCGCGAAACTCTTCTCCATCGCCGAAGCGAAAAAGACCAATGTCACCGTCTCCGCGGACGTAACCACATCGGCCGAGCTCCTCGACCTCGCAGACCGTAACTCTCCTTGAATATCCCCATCGAAGATCATTCCACTAATGCTACAATTACGCAGGCCTGGGACCCTACATCGCCGTCCTCAAAACGCACATCGACATCCTCGAAGATCTCACCCCCTCCACACTCTCCAGCCTGCAATCGCTCGCAACAAAGCACAACTTCCTCATCTTCGAAGACCGCAAGTTCATCGACATCGGCAACACAGTCCAGAAGCAATATCACGGCGGCGCCCTACGCATCAGCGAATGGGCACACATCATCAACTGCGCAATTCTGCCAGGCGAGGGGATCGTCGAGGCCCTCGCACAGACTACGCAGAGCCCCGGCTTCGAGAACGCAAGTGAGCGCGGCCTGCTTATTCTCGCTGAGATGACGAGTAAGGGCTCTCTGGCTACGGGGACCTACACGGAGCGGTCGGTTGAGTATGCGCGCCGCTATAAGGGGTTTGTTATGGGGTTTGTGAGCACAAAGGCGCTTTCGGATGTGCGGGCTGAGGGGAAGGAGGATGATGGGGAGGACTTTGTGGTCTTTACGACTGGGGTGAACTTGTCGGATAAGGGTGATAAGCTGGGGCAGCAGTATCAGACGCCTGAGTCGGCTGTTGGGCGCGGGGCGGACTTTATTATTGCGGGGCGTGGGATATATAAGGCTGAGGATCCGGTGGAGGCTGCTAAGAGGTATCGGGAGGAGGGGTGGAATGCTTATTTGAAGAGGATTGGGCAGTAAGGTGGTTTCTGTACTAGGCGTCCTTCTTGACGTTATTTTTTGCGCAGCTAACACTGGAAAATATAGAATTAGAAACAATTCTTAAGAGCTCGTGATATATCGAGTAGATCGATGACTAGATTAATCTATCTATCGAGGGCACAGGAATATTCATATAATATCCTTAGGAACTATCAGTAGACACCCACTCCCTATCCACCCCCTGCCCCTCCAACCAAGGCCTAGCAGCCTCATAAAGCCTCCCAAACTCCCCCTCGCCCAGGGCCACAATCCTCCCAAAAAGCTCCTCATCAAAGCGCTCCACAAAAGCCCAAAGACTCACGAGCCAGAAATCCGCAAGCCCCGGCTTCTCGCCCTCAAAGAAGGGGCCCCGTTTCCCTTCCTTCCCCTTCAGGATCTTGATCAGCGTCGCAGACTCCGTCTCGATTAAGGCCCATAGTTTATCGAAATCTTCTAGTGCTGCACGACGCACCTCAGGGAGAGGGCCGCCGAGGAATTTTGTCCGTGATTCATGGAAGTATATCTGCCCGCGCGGGTCTAGATGGTTCACGACAAGCGGTGGGATGAGTCGCCAGAATGCCGGGTATATAAGATCCATGATCCGGTCGACGGCGAGGAGGAGGGCATAGCTGGCGTCGCCGGATGGGAGGATCGACGGGGATGGGAATAGGTTCTCGAGGTGTAGTGCGATCGGGAGGGAGTCTTTTATCGCGCCGTGTGGGTTCTGCGTGGAGGCCGCTGATTCCTTGGTGGTTATTACGGGGAGGGTGTATACGAATGCGTCGTTGTTGGGTGGTAGGTCGAGGCTTGTGAAGAGGGGCTTGATGTCTGGGAAGGAGAGGAAGCTTTGGGTGTAGGGGATTTTCTTGTAATTGAGGACTGCGCGGATCTTGAGGGTGTTGGGGGACCAAGACTTGGAGGGGCCTGTTGTATAGAACGATATTATTAGCTTGTATAGGCTGGTTGCGGGGAAGATTGCGGACCTGGGAGGTCGGAGTAGAGGTCGAACAAGTGGACGGGGTCGGACGTGGCCATGTTGTATTTGAGTTACTGATATTATTGTAAAGAGAAACAAAAAGGAAAACCATTCGAGACGAGCATGAGTGGACGATTGGCAGCTTTGAAGAAAGACGCGGCGGGGTGTTCACGATATGATATGCAGGTATTGCTCATCAGATCTACGGATGATGAAACAGATTCACAGAACTCGCATCATGCAAGCGATCACCTAATCGGCAATACAAACTCGCCATACCAATTCAAAGCGACAATAAGGTAGACCAATACCAAGTTAACCCCCCGATACCAACAAGAGCCTCTTCGGACTCCACTTCCACAGCAAAACCCACCCCCCCAGCAGCGAAGAAAGCCCCGTAAAGAGAATTAGAGGCCCATACGAAGACCCGTACGCAAAGCGCTGGCCAGCCGACGATATAGTCCCAGCCTGGAGCAGCCTCACACCAGCAAACCCGCCACTCGCATACCCGATGCCCCTCACCCCGTTCAACAGGCCATAAAGCATCCCAGGGTCCACGGCCTCATTCCGCTCCGCGGACTCGAGCTCCATCTGCTTCAGCATACCGCCCCAGGTGGCACTGTACCCGCCAGAAAAGAACCCAAACGTCATTGAGAATACCACGAGGAGACCAATTGCGCCTTCGGTTGTCAAGCCCCATAAGAGGAACGTGGCCAGCGCGCAGCAGATGGGGGGGATGGCGGATACGGCAGGCGCTGAGAGAGGGAATTTCCTATTATCGCTCAGCCAGCCGAAGAAGGACGAGGCGATGATGCCCGGCGCGTTGAAGACGGCCAGCATGAGCGTGCCTGAGGTCTGCGATAGCAAGGCGATGTCCCGGGCGTATGTACTCAGATATGTCTGCGGGATACCATAGCCGGAGCTTTGGAAGATGATGGCGATGCTGTAAAAGTAGATGGATCGGTGTTTGAGGAAGTTCCAGGGGATTCTGCGAGCACGGGTTCGTGGGAGTGAGAGCTTCGAGGGGTGCGTTGGGATCATGGAAATGGCGAGGACGCTTGTTCCGCCAACGATCGCTGTCCAGGCTTGCAGTGTGGTCCGGAAGCCGTAGGCGTCGATCATGGCTCGGAGCATGAATGGCAGGCTGGTACCAACAATGTTCTTGCATGATAGCACGATTCCATAGGCCACGGCGCGGTTGCTGGTGGTGTACCACTCGCCGAGGGAGAGCGTGGTTGGGCTATAGATGAGGGCACAGCCCAGGGCGGACGTGATTCCCTGGGTGGCGAGCAGATGGCCGATGGTCGCGCTGTAAGAGGACAGCAGGAAGCTGATACAGGCAATCACGGTTCCGCAGAGAGCTGCGAGCTGGCGGCGATGAGCCCATCGTCTGGTGAACAGCGCAAAGAGAAAAGGCATGGACAGGTACATGACCCCGTTGGCGGTGGTGCCAATGACACCGGTCGTGCTGCGGTCTCCCTTGAAGGTCCAGTTTTCGGAGTAGTATTCCTGGAATACACCGTAGCTCATTGCAAAGCCTGTCAAGGCGTAAGCAGATGCAATTCAGACATATACATGAATAAATCAGATGGATGTACCCCAGATGGGCAGCTGGAGAATCCCAGAGCCGATCAGGACGAGCAGCTTGGTCCTTTTTGGTTCCTCCACGTCTCGCTCATCGTCAGCCTGCGCGTCCGATGGCGGCAGAGAATATTCTTCAGTCTCGGCCATTGTGATGATACAGTGAGTTGGAAAGAGAAGAGAAGAGGGATGCATTTGGAGTGTTGTAACATCGTCACTGCGGGGTCGCGATCAGAGCGTGACTCACAGCGATCTACTCTCCAACATCTCCCACTCTACTTGGACATCATCAATTTATTCATTGATATTGTCTACTAAGCTATGAAATCTGATGGCCTTCCCTGCCCCTTTCAGGCACAAAATGGATCACCCCACTGGCTGTACCCCAGCCCTAAGTGCCTGGCATCATCCTGCGTAAGCCCTACCACCACCCCAACATTGTTCTCTGTTAGCAAGCTCCAGTTAACTGGAATGATATGAACTTACCGGGGTCGCTCGCCCCGACTCTGATGTCCCATGCCCGTCCCTGCCACCCAACCAAGGCATGGTGTTTTGGAGAGAAGAGATGTCGAGTACCTAGGCTGTGTTCGCCGACGGGAAGGTGATATAATGCCACCCAGGTTGAAGGCAAAAGAAGCTTACCTTGTCCCAGGCCCGTCCCGACCACCCGCCAGGGCCAAGGTAGTGAGGCCGCAGAGCTGATAGTGTAGTTAGTAGGTAAAAGTGAAGTGAAACAGACGAACAAAAGGGGTATCAAGGTCGCTGAAGCGCTGGAGACAAGGGAAGCTATCTAGGGCTAGCTAAGGAAGATGGGTAATGTCTCCCAGGCCCGTCCCGACCACCCGCCAAGGCCAAGGTCGACCGGAAGGAGGAGGGATGTTGATGAGTAGAAGATAGGAGTCGACGCGAAGCAGACAGGGCGAAAGGGGTATCAAGCTCGCTGAATCGCTGACGACAAAGGGAACAAAAGGCAGCTATCTAAGAAACCTAGCTAAGGATGAGGATAGCTAATAAGAGGGACGTCCAGCGGGTTAGGCTAGAGGATGGCAAGCTCTGCAAGGGCAGAGGAGGCGTCAAGCCTGGTAATTCACCACAGAGTGGTTACTGGAAGATGTCGTACTATTCTTGAAGTGAGTGTATGGACACGAGATGGTGCTGGAACCTACTTACTGTTGTCGCTTTGGTGACCCATGCCCGTCCCAGCCACCCAACCGGGGCATGTGTAAAATAGAATACTTGGTGAGTAGAGTATCTATCAGTAAGCTGGCACACATTGAGCTGGTATTAGGAGACCTACCCAAGAGCCGCCCCCAGCATCTGGTACCCATGCCCGTCCCTACCACCCAACCAGGGCATGATTAAATGGCGTAAAAGTGTCATATATGGTGAGTGGATGTTGAGTATACCATACTAGATGTCAGTAGACCGCAGGAATATGCAAAGAGACAAGAATATCTTATCCCAAGCCCGTCCCGGCCACCAAACCAGAGCTGTAAGTAGCTATATCTGGTAGAGTGAATTGCGATAGGTAGGATAGATGAGATAGATAGCAGTAGATACTCCCCATGCCCATCTCATCCACCCAGCCAAGGCAGGTTGATAGATAAGTGCATGTAGTATCAGAGTTTTCCATTAGTAAGTAATCATATAACGAGAGAGCATAAATACTTACTAGTATGAGAGGATGTACAGCAAAGGATATCCGGTAGTTTATTTCCCAGGCCCGCCCAACCGCCCAACCTTGGGCCTGAGAGTGAGGCGTGCGTTTTGAGAGTGATCGAAGTGTCAAGTTAGCTCTTCTATTCTAGAACGACGGAGGACTACAGTTACTTACCACTGCAGTGATCCAGGTCCGATTCCCATGCCCGTCCCAGCCGCCCAACCAGGGCATGGAGGACTACCCGAAGGCAAGTCCAAAACCTAAAAGTTAGTAGCTAGGTAGTTAGTAGAGTGATTGGTTTTCCCAGGCCCATCCCAACCGCCCCACCTAGGCCTGAGCAAGAGGCCTGCGTGTATGGAGTCCGAGAGGCACGTCAGCAATGTCTTGGTACTAGATAGGATTACATTTACTTACCAGTAAGTTATGTCGATGCTGTCCATTATCCCATGCCCGTCCCAACCACCCTACCAGGGCAGGGTGGACAGCCCGAAGGCTGTCCGGCAGCTAGACGTTAGCAACTAGATGATTAGCAGGGTGATCTAAAGTCCCAGGCCCGCCCAGCCAACCCAACCATGGGCCTGGAGTAGAGTTCATTGCAGTTATAGTTACAAGTCAGCTGGGTTTACTACTAAGCAGGGGCATCGAGGTACTTACCCAAACCCCCCACCAACGTCGGATAACCCATGCCCGTCCCTACCACCCAGCCAAGGCATGGGGACGTTTGCCCGAAGGCAGTGTCTATTGAGCCCAAAGAAAGTTACAAGGTTAGCCAGACCCACTACTACTAAGGCACGTTGATCACTTACCCGGTTCCACGCCCCTGGCACACCCCGTGCCCCTCCCAGCCACCCAAGGCACGGGGAGAAAGGCCCGAAGGCGAGCTGGAAGTTTAGTAGCTAGATAGTGAGTAGGGCGAGAAGGTGTCCCAGGCCCACCCAACCACCCAACCAAGGGCCGGGATAAGTGATCGAAGTAAGATGTATTCCATCGCAGATATAATTACAAGGTCAGCCATGCTCGGTACTACAGAGAGACAGCTTGATTACTTACTTGACCCCTCCACCCCCAACGTCTGATAACCCATGCCGTCCCGACCTCCCAGCCAGGGCCTACAAGCAGCAGACAATCGAGAGTGAAGTTGAGCCAGACCAGAGCCGGTCAAGGTTTACTCAAAGCACAATGCATATATATATTTGCAAGTTAGTCAGTTGAGCCGGTAAGCAGAAAGGAACCGCTTACTTCATTCACACAAACAGCAGAGCCAACAGAGTCCGATGACCCAGGCCCGTCCCTACCACCCAACCAGAGCCTTGTGCCGCAAGCGACTATGACAAGGTTAGAAATGTCCACATGGCTTCCGAAGCCAAGGGACGCAATGTCTCCAGGCCCAATCCCAGCCTGCCCAACCATGATTGGCCTGGAGAGGGAAGCGGAGGCGTGGAGGAGGAAGGATGTTCAGAGACGGTGGGGTATAGGGAGAGACAGGTTAAGAGACGGTGAGGTATAAGAAGAGATAGGCCATAGGGGACAGTGAGGCATGAAAGTCTTATGGAATGGGCAGAGAAATGGCAAGAGACGGAGCGGAGATAGGAAGTAAGGGTATGTCACGAGACAGAGATGCCCTAGGAGGGAAAGGAGAGAAGCGGCAGAAGGGCCTTAGGAGGCGCAGAGAGAAGGCAGAAAGTGGCCTGAAGATACGGGTCAGAAAAAAAGAGAAAGACAGCCAACTCGGATGAGAAGAGATTGCAGGAGACGACGAGAAGAACCACTAGGATAACAAGGAATAGACATAAGAATAGGATGACGAGGAGAAGAGCGAGGATGATGTTGGTAAGTATGAGGAGGATGAGGAGGAGTAGATGGAGGGGAGGTAAGAATAAGAAGGGGAGGGGGGTGCAGGGTAGGTGGGATTGCTTGGAAAACGGGGAGTTGTAAGAAGCAAGTTCGGAGGAGGGCAGCAGGGGCAGGGAGGGTGAATTTATAGCCCGGATGGGCTGAATTGCCACCGCTCCAAATCACGAGTTGACGCAGAGATTTCAGAGTATCCCACTCTGCGATGAATGTGACGGTGAAGTGACTGAACAGTTACTGTATCTGTTGCAAAGTATAGTGAAGAGAGCCGTCAATACGTCTCGAATAAGGTTTGGCAGGTGGGTCTGCTGCTCCGGGATTGGTGGGTTCAGAGGTCGAAGCTTCAGGTACGAGCCAATCGGATATGATCTACGCCGCCAGGAACGAACTGCTTTGGCGGAGTTAACCGTGCTGTGAATTACTCAAAGCTAACTTCAGCGAGATGGTTGGGGAGCCGCATTTGCACTGTGCTTGCGCCCATGGATATGTATGTTCCTCGTCGCCCGTTCCAATGCGCAAACTTAATCACTCGCTTGCCTTGATTCTGGTCTACTACTCGCTCGCTTACGACCAGTGCCACCTCGATGACTCCCAGCCCCCGACATTATACTCTTGCGTAGAGTCAAGAGGTAACATCGTTACTCTTCCGGACGAGGAGTCCCGACCAATTGAGATGACAACTGGACCAGGGAGGCGCTACGGTGTTGCAAAAGGAATGCCCGAGAAGTCTCTGTCATTGCCACCAGTGGTGGTCAAATAGGAGGCTGCGAGGGAAAGCACGATCACTCGTTCCTGCCTGGGCCGCGTACACTGCCATCGCCTGCCCAGCCAATTCTCCCACATATGGCCTACGAGACAATCGCTATACGATGGTAAAAACAAGAAACCAAGTAGATTATCAGTCAAGGAGCGGCGCTATGTGTCATTAATGTACGGCGGAATGAAACAGAAATACATCGCTGCGGAGATTTGCCTTGCCCATGCCCCTTTCCTGGATCCGGAGTCTTGTACGCAGCAATGACAGGCTTAATACACAAGACAAGCCTCCTGCACCACGAGCAAAACAATAAACCAGTCAAACAAATAAAGACAACGAAGTGAAACAAAAGGAGAAGATCCGAAGGAAAGAGAAGGTACTAATATAGCAAGTAAAAGGTCCCACGATCAAAATAGCAAAGAACGTGCTTTCTGCCGCCGAGATTCTGGGCTGCGAACCTCGGGTTGCGACTGCGTGTGTTTGTGCCGCGGCCGCGGAGATGGAGCCGGAGCTGCGTGTGCTGTCGGCGTCGGCGCCGGCGCCGTTGAAGGAGGGGCCACGTTAACGTCCTTCTTGACAGAGGGGGGTGGGGGTGCAGCCCCTAAATGTGAAAAGCGATCTCCTGTCTCTCGTCGCGACGTCTTCATACTTCGCTCCCGCTTCAGAACAAGCTCAGTCCAGGGCTTGGCCGGGTTAGCTCCAGACGGTCCTTTGCCAACTGTTTCCGCTAGGATCTTCATCCAGCCTTCCTTGTCGGCTGCACTGTCTGCATAGAAGTCAATCACCTCGCCGTTACCGAAGCGGATGCGGAACCCCTCCTCCACGAACATATACCCTTCCTCCTCCTCAGCAAACGCGGACTTGCGTCGCTTTCCGCCACGC